CCCAATTGTTCACTTTTAAGACGTTACTGTTGTGATTAGTAATTAATTCGTTATTCTTCATTAATTGGTCATAGTTTGCAAGTCGTTCTCAATGAGGATATATTATTTTAGTAATTATCAAATATCTAATAAGGAACTACCTTTGTCCTAAATTTGCTACTACTAACTGCTTAGTTAATCTTGCTTCTCTATTAGTTAATAGTATTAAGTTAAGTGTTAATGTAGTACTACCTATTACTTCCTGCATAGTTACTTGATAACAACGGACCATTATTCTAAAGTGTTACCGAATTTTCTTATTGTTCTATCCCTGTGTGTGTGTGTGGCCTGTGGAATATTTGCACGTGCTTACATGATACATTTTCTTGTAAAGCAAAAGTGCTAAGATCATAGAGTTGTTGGCAGAGAATATATTACATTTATTTTGGCAAATTGGCAAATAGTTTTTTCATGTTTTAAGAATAAATTTAACAAAATCTAGTGAGGTTTATTCCAAATAAGTCTTATTATCTTAACACAAATTTGTTTCTAAAGTAAATTGATCTTTTGTGAAGAATATGCAGATATATTTGTGGAAGCCAAGACAAAAATACTTAAAGGAAATTATTTTTTTTGTATTCACACTGTCAAGCACGCTCGCACACAAACACACTCACACTCACACACTCACACTGCCTGCTTATATCTGACCAATCCCTTGGTATTTGCTAGAGGACACACTCTGCCTTATATAGGCAGGAATGCAACAACAGACACACACACGTAACAAGAAAGTTGGCAACGTGCGTCATTCACATTACAAGCAAGAAGAGAGAGAGAGGCAAGATGCTAAGACAAAATGATCACTAAATCTAGATTAAAAAAAATCTATTTTTTTAATCTACTTATTTGTATCTAGTGTCAGAAATCTATTAGCTTGAAATCTGACTTTTCTGAAAAAACATAGATAAATTAGAAATACGCAACACAAGTCTGCAAGTTTCTGTAGCTGTAGCTGCAATCAACACATCATTCAAAGTAAATTAGCTTGAGATTCATGACAATGATAATATGATCCAGGCTGAATCATAACATTTATGAAGGATAGGATGCAGCATCAGGAGAAATGTTTGTCATGAAGTTACTGGGCTGCAGGTTATAGTTATATGAGAAAACGTCTCAGGTTACTTATGTAACCATGGTTCCTTGAGTAGGGAACGAGACACTGCGTCCTCTAGGGGTCGCTATGGGGAACGCCTCGTCGTGACCCGTGTCTGAAGCATACATTGAAAAAACACCAACTT